GGCAACGGCAGTGGCAGCAACGAACACAACAACGCCGTTCGCAACACAAAACACAATTTTTTCCAATTGGAAATTTGCGTGAAATTCAATTTACGTTCCTAATTGGATTCAAAAGGCAGCAACAACAAGAGTAACCCAACCAACCAACCAACCAACCAGCCATCCAAACAACAACCAAGGCGGGCAGGCAGGCTGGCAGGCAAACAATCAACGACGAACACAGAGCAACCACAACAACAAGAAACCTTGGTTAAAGGAATAGAAACACCAAAACAGTAACAGAGCAACACACCAGTCACCAACAGTTCCCCCCAGCGCCCAAGACCACAACAACACCACAACTGAGGCAATCACCTCCATCATTATCCATTCATCCATCCAGTGCCATTCTGGAGACCTTTATTACCAATATTATCACTGTATAAAACAGGCGACAGCAGCAGCAGCAACCAACAGCAGTGATACATTCATACAGCCATACAACCATCCAGCCAGCCAGCCACACATCAACATCCATTTAGCCCGCCCGCCTGCCCGCCAGTCAGCCAGCCAGCAAAGTTCTCACACAACGAGGTCAGTGTCATAATTGTGGTGGTAGACATTCTGGTTTTATGCTCCATTGCCTGAATGACATAACCCTGATGATTTTCGTATTTGAACTTTGGCAGTTAAATGATGCGCAAATTTAAAATACCAAAGATGAATTTGGTTGTGTGTCTATGTATGTATGTGTGTGTGTGTGTTTTAAAAATTTAATAAAAAACTATGAGGTGGAAGAGGGCACGGTTGATAATATTTGCGAATTTCACAAAATTATTTATTTGTGGTTTCAATCTGAACTAGGGGTTCCTTGCCGTACGTTTGTATTGGATTTAGAAAATCCTGGATTGGATCGGAATTCAAATTCCACTATCCAATTCCAGCTCTAATCTAAACATGCTATTAGACCCCAAAGAGGATGATATAAAGGTGGAACTATACCGCATGCTGTACAGTATTTATAGTAACATATTAGGGAAAATTGTATTTAGGTGATTTCTAGGTCCTACCTTGGAAATTATTGTACAATTGGAAGAAAGATGCATAAACCTATCTTAAAAATACATTTTTTCTTGTTGTCCCTATTATGTCGAAATATAGGGTGAGATGAAAAATTTGCAACCAACTTAAGACTGCTGTCATTTCTAAGCCACTCGTCCGACAGACGTTAAAATTATTCCAGTAACAGCTCATTATATTGTTTACAAGCGTAAAAAAAAAATTTGGTGAGAATTTTCCAGAAAAAACTTATTCGTGATGGAACTCATGCGTGATAGTGTGATTTCTTTATATTTGTCTGGAATACCACAAGTGGGTATCGTTACAGCACTCCCGCATTTAAATGTGAATAGATCTTTTGTGTCTCGTAACATCGCTCATTACCGTGATACTGGTAGCGTAGCCCGACGTCAAGGAAGTGGACGGAAGAAAACAACAACATCAGCAGAAATGATTCGAAAAGTACGCGAAAAGAGAAGCGACTTGAATTTCAGAATTTTCCATTCGGTAAATATTGAAAAAGGAGCTCGGGGTAAAGACATTGAAATTCCAAAAAGTGCAAAAACTTATACCGCAACATAAAGAAAATAGAATCAAAAGAGCTAAAGAATTGATTCGTTTGGCCGAAAGTGGTGATCTGCCGGATTTGGTTTTCTTCGATGAGAAAACATTCGTTGTCCAGCAGTTTGTAAACAAACAAAATGGACGTATTTACTCGCCAAAGAGGTCAGCTGAAAATGTGCACCTTCGGTTGGCCACCAGAACTCAAGCGACGGTCATGGTGATGGTGTGGGCCGCCATAAGAGACAATGGTCGCTCTCCGCATGTATTAATCGGCCGTGGCATCAGAATAAATGTCGAGTATTAACACGAAAATATGCAGGTTTCGAAATGTAGAGTACGTGGGTACCTGCCGCTTTGGCTTAACCCCACGGTGCTCTAAACACCGTGTGAATACAATGCGTCTACCAACGCCCCTACATAAGTGAGTACCAATTGCTCACACGCATTTGGACGTGATCACCCCCTTTATTCTGGAGGGTGTATTAAAGCCTTGGTCACACAAACAATTTGGCCGCAGACCTTTGACATTCCAACAGGACTCAGCACCATCACACTCAGCACGCGCCACCCAAGAATGGTTACAAAATGAAGTTTCTTGCTTCATTTCCAGCGCATAATGGCCTCCGAAATCTCCGGATACCAATACGTTGGACTATTGTGTCTTGAGTATTTTGGAAAGCAAGGTTGGCACTAAAAAATACCAAAGTATCGATCACCTCAAGCGAGAGCGCTTCGCCGGGAATGGGCCAAAATATGACGGTTTCATTGGCCGTGGCAAAGAAGACGAATTTGAAAAAATCTAAACTTATTCTAAAGTTTGATGCTATTTCTGACATTTTTTGCTTTCATTCAATAAAATTTAAAAAAATGTTTTTTATCACACCCTGTATGTAGTTTTTTATCACACCCTGTATGTAATACCAGTTCAATTTTAATGGATTTCTGGACCTGTATAAAATATTCTTGCAAGGTGTTTAAATGGGGCTTATCCTAGAAGTGGACCTATGTTGAGTAAAACTACCCACGAAGAACCTGAAATATCAAATTACAGTTATTGTGGTTGGAACCTCCAAAATACCGAAAATCTGTGGGTAGAGTTACCTAAAAATTGTCAATATCAAGTATTCTCGCTATAATATCAATATCTGGCCGAAATGAAAAAACTTTAATTTTCATAAATCCATTGTCAATTCAGAGATGGGAAATTGTTTTTTAATCGAAGTTAAATTTGGCAAGATAAATGACAGAAAATGCAGAACTGGGACTCAATTCTTGTTCTATGAAATTGTTGAATGAATTGTTTTATCAAGGTACGAAGTGTTATATGAAAAAATTATAAATTAAGTAAACAAGCTGTAAGTTGGCCGGCCGAAGTTATAATACCCTCCACATTTGGAAAGAATTTCGCAATTTTCAAAAAAAAAAAAATCTTAAAAATTCTGTTAAAATCTTCAAAATACCGAATGTAGCCGTTTTATTAGGGCCCGTACGACGACGTGGACCAATAGAGGCAACTTTTGTCATAAGCCATTACAATATTCAAAAGCGAAACTTGAAAACAAAAAAAATTCAGTGAATAATGTAGCTAAAATCCTCAAAATACGGAATATATATACGAAGACGTGGACCTGCACGACAATTATCTATCATAGGCTGTAATATCCATTACGAACTTCAAATACCAAATTTGAAACATTTTCAGTGAATAATGTCGCTAAAATCAGCAAAATACCGAATATAGGGAGGTACCTTTATATGGGGGCTACACGAAGACATGGACCTGCACAGACAATTTTCTGTCATAGACTGTAGCATCCATTAAGATCTTCAAATACCAAATTTGAAACAATTCCGGTGAATAATGTCGCTAAAATCATCAAAATACCGAATATAGGTACGTTTACGATTACAACAGACAGACGGACATGTCTAAATCGTCTTAGAATTTTACGCTGATCAAGAATATATATACTTTGTTGGGTCTGACATGAGTATTTCGAGGAGTTACAAACGGAATAACAAAGTTAATATACCCTCTATAGTATGGTGGAGGGTATGAAAATAAACAAATTTTATTTTTGGAAACATAAACAAATTTTTGACAGTAGGGCAATAGGTTTAATGAGCTTTTACTCCCAGGCGAAATAAGTGAATTAACTGAAATAAAAACTTGATTGTCTGGGTAGCATTTGCTTGCCTGCCTTAAACAAAAGTTCTGTAAACAGGCTATTAATTTTGCCATGATGGTCCTTATTCTTGCGGATTCGTAACTTTGATTTTACTCGCCATCATGAAAGGAGACCCATGATCCAAAAATGTTGTAAAGAGGGCCCTAATTTACCAAGCGGCAAGCTACTTACTTGGCCTCCTATTACGACTTTAAATTACAAAATTTCCCTGCCATTTTATGTATGGTAGAGGCCTTAAAACATTTTATATACTTTTTTTTCAAATTTATTGAGTCTTTTTTTTAACACGAAAATTTACAATTTTGAAGTGAAGAAAGAAATACTTAAAACTATAATGTTTTGTTTTAATAACTAACGCGTATTTTCAGCGTCTGGCTTTACAAAAAATTGTTAATTAGTGTGTATATCGTGCTTGCTCCCGGCACTACAATTTTTATATACTTTGAAGGCCTTAAATCTGTATTTTCCAAAAACTGTCAACTATTGTCAAAAATTAACTTGTAAACATGTCCAATAGACAATCTCACCTAACAGATCCAAAAGCTGCCTACATATCTCTCGTCATAATCCTATTATTGCAAAATATTTACAAATCTGTCATATTCCTAAATTAAGCATTTCCAAGTTAAAATTTAGTCTTGACCATCGACATAAATCCAATTTGTTTTCGGTGACCTATACTACCAGTCAATGGAGGTTGTTTGTCAGCAGTTTGGTGACCTTTAAATTACTGACCTCCAATTGATCTCACTTACACCTCACCTCACATTGACCATTTGTCTTGTCTTATTCTGCCAAACAGAATGGCTATGAAGATAAGTTTTCGTTAAAAACTGGCATTTGCCAATTTGAAAATAAAACGCCAAGAACAAAAATAATGCAAGAATACAACAACAAATGTGGCTAGGAAACAATGGTCTTTGAAAAAAAAAAACCAAAACCATGAAGTAAAATATTACACACATTTAGACAGACCAACACTATGACACACAAACAGCCACCCACACAAGTTAGTCACAAAAAACAACGGTTATTTAAAATGAAGAGCATAAATTTAATTTTCTTTTTTTTTCGCAAAATATGACAACATTTTAGCTAGTTAATGTTTTGTTTGGATCTTCACACAAAGATAATTTTATATTTGCACTGGGGGAATAAATTTGGGATAAAATACTGTCGAAATTGTCATGATTCGCCTTGCGAACTCACCTTTATTCCATTCTTTTCTTTTTCATGTATTCTTGTTGGTTGCTTGCTTGCTATAAATGTCGGTATGATTGTTGCTGTTGTTATTGTTACTGTTGCTTGATTTGTTTTTGTTATTTTTTTTCTTTGTTTTCTTCTTCTTCTTTTTTCAAACTAGTAATAACTTCTCGTTCTGCTTCTTCTTATTCTTTATATTCTTCTATTTTCAACTTGTAAACCTGTTTTAAACCAACAACGAACACACTCTCTCACATGCAAACAGCTCAGACTGCAGAATGCTGATATTCATGGGCAAAACGAACACATACACATACACACGTCATAGAATTTGTTAACATGCACACTCGCACACTGTATATTTATTTACACACAACTGCACAAAATATACTATAGCTGGCTGGCTGGCTTGGTTGACTAGTGGTGTTGGCTGCTACTGCTGTTAGCCGAGGTTGAGGAGGATGCTTCTTCTTCTACTGCTGCTTTACCTTTGCCCATATTTTTTTTCGTACACAACTACTACACTGGCAAGCATATTCACGAAAGCGCCGCACACAAATATTCACACAAACACGCAGAGCACAACCACTTGGCCACTCTTTACAACACTTTACAAAAAAATTACTTCTATTTTTTTACAATTACTTTTATTTATTCTTATTTTACTTTATTTGTGTAATATTTTCTTTTTGATTTCAAGTAGAATTTTCTTGTGATATTTGTTGCTGCTTTACTTTTTTTCTTCTTCTTCACTATTTTGTATTTTATTTTTTTTTCTGAACAAAGTTTACGGAGGAGCTTGGATAGATGGCTTGCTTGCTTGCTAATATTTACACTTGCGATGCCACACACTCACAGAATTTGACTTAAAATATACTACAATTTAATATTTTTTCTTTCTTTCTATTTTGCTTCTACATCTAATTTCTAAATTATCATCATCGCAATGATTTTTATTATTATTTTTTTGCTCATCACGACTTCCGCCGCGTTTTTCACGTTTAACGTTTTTTTTTTTTTTCTCGTTTAATTGTTGTTTTCGCACTATCGACCGACAACCGCACCGTTACAAATACAAGCATCGACTGTTTTTGATTTTTCAACATTTCAAAACTGGTTTCATCGTTGGACGACGGCTGGCTGGCTGGTGTGCGTGTTAACTTGTTTTCTTTCATTTGCTTTTGACTTGACTTTTCGTTGCGCTTATTATTACGTTAACAAACAACCACTTCTCTTTTTCTCTTAAAATCTAAGAGAGTGTTACTCTTATGAGTTACTCTTTTCGGCTAAACCAGCTGTTTTATAAAACGGGGTTGCCGCATCACAGGCTCAGTGATGTATTTTAAGTGGAAATGTCAAATGAATAGAGGGTGTGTTTAGTTGATTGTTTACATTTTTTTCTGACTAGAAGCCGATAAGAGTTAATATGGTGGTGTTGATATTAATTCTTATTGTTAATGAGAAAATAGAAAATCTAGTTTTATCAGGGATGATACAGCGTGAGGAACTAGAAAATTAACTTCAATTGGGGTTACATTACCAATTTAACCCCTAATGTAAAAGTTTTAGAAGAAAATAGGTCCCTGATGTCATATGTTTATGAATTCAACATTCTACTGCTCTTTTTTTTACTAAATCCACAATTTAAAAAAGGACGGGAACACAACAAAGTTGTCTTCTTGTAAAAATATGGGGAAAACGCATAAAATGAATGAAAGGTCATTACCAATGTGCTTGTGGGGTTTTAATACTGTATTCACCACAAAAGTTATACACGCATTGCCTACGATTACAATTTTTTTATTTGATTTCCATAAAATGTCAAATTTAAATGTTGTAGTCATGGTAGAATTAAGAAGGTAAAGTAATGCATGTATATGATTACAATTTTTTTAAAATTAATCATGTGACGACATCTCATTATCAAAACTTTACAAATCCATTGTATACACAGAAATCTGAGATGGGAACCTGTTTTTTTGCAGTGAAAGTTGACAAGGTAGGTTACAGAAAATGCAGAGATGGGAATGCTTGTTTAAAATTACTTTACCTTCTTAATTTTACCATGGTTGTAGTTCTTCCTTAAATATGTGCGTAAAGCTGGCAAGAAATTTATATTTACTTCCGACCAAATATTTTGTCATTTTCATACCTTTTAGCTGGTATAAAAGTCGGGGAAGACTACAAGAACTAAAATATTAACCTTAAAGGTAACCATGGCTCAATAATTCAACTCAGTGCTGAAGTCTTATAGTGTCAAATAGACTTTTGAATATGCATCACTTGGTTTTGTTTATTTTTCATTTTTAATAAAATTCTTATATTGGGGATTAAAAATAAACAAAACAAAAAAGAATGGAATTTTTTGTGGAGATTAAATCTAAAATAATAAGACAATCCAGTTTTATCCCAAAATTTTACAATGTGTTGCCCATTACCGTCGAAATATGAATTTATTTAGCAGAATTTTGCAACACATATACAAAATATGCATATTTTTTGACAGAATAAGGGCACTAAAAGGAAAAAATTTAATTTGCTTTGTTCTTTGTTCTACTTGATGTATTTTTGCCATGAGTACCTGCAAGAATCTAATAGTTTTTGGTATGTTCCCTTCTATTATGATAACCGATTTTCCCTTTATAATATCGAAAAAATTAGCAAAACTAGTAGATTCTTGCAGGTTCTGGAAATTACAATTTATTTGAAAAAAAAAAACAAATACAAAATCGATTCGTTAGAAAAGGGTTGCCATATCCGATCTATTATATCGCCATGTATTCGTAATGGAAATGTAAATTGAAATCTATTATATTAAGTAAGTGTAAACTTATTATAAGGCAATCCATGCCTTATTTACACGGAACATAAATAAAGTACTATATTTTACCCGAGGTCATGTGTATGTGTTTTCTTCATTTTCAATGTAAATTTTGTACTCTAGATACAAATTCCTCAAAAACATAGAATATAGGACAATGTAGAGTCAGAATATGGAAAACCTGTGAAAATATCTCTGTTGTTTGATTAAACCGTTTGGATCATATTTTTGAAAGAAATTCCATGTATTTCATTCATATTTTGAAATAATTGAAAACAACTTTTTACATCTGATATTGAATAATCCTGAGAGGAAGCGTAGCATTTGTTTTAAAATTGTAGAATAATACATAATGCGTCAACGCTTGGGGACATTGTTATCTCAAAAAGTTTTTTTTCAAATATAAGTGGATTCTTATATGTCTTCTTATACAACTTCAATCGGAGGTTATTATAAAGCATTTTCAACCATTTGAATAATTTTTCAATCAAAAATTGCAATTCCAAAATAGGTTTGACAGTTTATTGTCTCAGCAGCTGTTTTGATTCATTCTTCCACCATGAGTTTTGCGAAGCTGTTCTTCCTCCTTATTGTACCAAGTGTAATATGTAAGTATGGACTAAGGTTACGTTTACATCTATTTAATATATATTTTCCAACGTTTTATGTCGAATTACTCCGTGATATAGTTTTTTACTGTGAAGAGCGCAATGATGTAAACAATGTCTAAAGTTAAATAACAAAATATTGGTACCCATCACGTGATACCCACATTCGATTTAACGCCATCTACCATTTTCAAACCCCATGACATGGATACCTGTTACGTGCAATGCAACTGTGTGTTTACTCTGACATTTCATTCATAACATTTAGCTTTGGCATACATTGTTTGATGTCAAACAATTAATACAGCCATTTCACTCTTGCTGCCACCAAAAAAGAACGCTACATTCTCTAACCGTCTCTCTTTAAGTTATATCAAAAAAGAACAACAACAAACAACGAACAAAATAAATTACTTGCATAGAAGAAAAAATGTAGTTGTAAAAACGCGCGGAAAAGTAATCACCGAGAAGACCAAACAATACAAAACATACAACAAGGAAATCTCCAAACATTTGCCTTAAAATTTTTGATAAAAACTTTATACAAAATAGCCGCGGTCCGGCGGAACATTTCCTCCAATCCAATCTCCTAACAAAACGAAGACGAGACAACGGTGATTGTTGGTTGGCTTGACACGGGTAGGTTACGTGCGGTTAGAAGCGAGGCAGGTCAGGCGAAAGAGAAATACATTAGCAAACAACCGACCGACCGATGGAAATAAAATAACAATGAGTGAATAGTGTAATGGAAGGAAAATTTGTAAAGCAAACAGTTTTTGAAAAACAAAGACCAAAATGTGAAACAGAACCTTTTAATTAAAATTCAGTTTTCCCCTTTTCAGATTTGGGCGGAAAAATATTCTGGCGACAACGGCAAATACTTCTTTGTGAAAAATCCTACGCAAGTTTTCAGCCATTGCCATCAAACGCTTGGTGATAAAGATTAACTTGACGGACGCTAATAGAACGGAAACGGTAAACAGTATCAAGGCAGCCCTTCTATTGCTACGGAACTATTATCGTTGTGGCGACGGTCAACAGTTTTTCTCATCTATATGTTTGATGCATTGTTGTGATTGATATTTTTATGATTGACTTCCGACAAATTCTCTAGACGGTTTTTGCATCTAGTGGTGTGGTGGTGGTATTTATCTCTACTCAACCGTAAATTGCATAGACAAAATGGTGCGCCGACGTACGCGCGCCTGTGCCAATTCTAAGGCGCCTGTTGAACTTATGACAAATGGTGGATCTGCTGCAGCTGCCTTGGCCAATGCCGCCCAACTGCTAGAAGAACAATATTTTGCTAGCCCCAAGAGGAAAGATTGTAAAGTGGAGGAATCAGCTTGTGATGAAGGAGGTCGTAGCAGTGCCAGCTCATCTCCGACGAACATTCAGACCGAAGATGCTAATGCTCACAGAACTAAACATAAATCCATCAGTCCCAATAAAGTAAAGGGTGGCATAAATGGGCGCACAATTGGTAAGTATTTTGTTCGTTTTGAGTTTAGTGATTGACATCAGTATGGCAGGCCACTCACACTTCTTGCGCCCATCATGATTGTCACTACAATCACTAAAAATTGTCTGTTTGTGGTGTATCATTACTAGTTGCAATGAATGGCATAACCTCAATCTTTTTTTGTATTGACTTTTGACTTGGTTGGATAGTAGAGGGGAATATATAAATGTGTGTGAGTTAGTGTATGTGTTTTGTGGGAATGTGTATATTCGCGTTTGTTTCTAAACATTGCAACAGTCGAAACTTTTTCTTCTACAAAGAGCCAAACAAAAGAATGCAGAAAGCTCTTCGTTTTTTTATTGTTGTTTTTGTGTAAAAAAGATACTTTAAGCCTGTTTTTGGTTAAAGGAAAAGTGAATTTACAAAAAGTTTTGGTAATAAAATTTATTGTTGGAATCGGTTTGCAAATATCTGTGGAAAAAGGGCAAACATGTTAACGATAGAAATTATTGATGAGATGTACAGAAGATCAGCCAATGTGTTGAGTTTGATGCAAATTGTTTTGCTAAACATGTCTGGCCTTGCCATGCAAGTGTTCAAGTACTCATTATTTTCCTAAAATGAAAGGGTCGAGAAACAAATTGCATCATTCTATTCCTGAATATATTACTAAACCAATGAAAAACCTTACTGATCACAATGTGTGGATTATATAAAAATGTGTATCTTTCAAATTCCCTTTGCATAATTAGACCTCAGAATATGTATAAAACTTACAATATAATTTTAGTTAAAAAATTGATAAAAAAAAACATGATGCGGAATAGTAGGATTTCGAGATACTGCTAGCATTTATTGTAAATGAGCTTACGTCCTAACTACATTTTCAATCGTACTGGCAATATTTTGACATTTAAATAGGATTTCATCTTTCAGAAGAGTTCAATACAGGTCAAGGCATAGCTGTCAAGTGAAAAACGACGAGATAAAAAAACTGCAACAAAGTCAAACGCCACACTTTTTTTAATTTGATTGAAAAAATAAAAATGTCGGAAATAGCACCAAATTTTAGAATAACTCAAGATTTGATCGAATTGGTCACCTTTGGCACGAATTATGGCCTTCAAAGGGCCAATGAAACCGTCACACACTGCCCGAATGTTGCTCTGCGGTATTTTGACCCATTCCCGGCGAAGCGCTTGCTTGGGGTGATCTACACTTTGGTATTTTTAGTGCCACCTTGCTTTCCAAAATACTCCAGACACAATAGTCCAACGGATTTGGTAACTGGACATTTTGGTGGCCATTGTGCGCTGGAAATTAAGCGAGGAACCTCATTTTGTAACCATACTCGTGTGGCGCGTGCTGAGTGCTGTTGGAATGTCCAAGGTCTGCGGCCAAAATGTTTGCGTGTCCAAGGCTATAATATTCCGCATTTATTCGGTCGATTAATACTAGCGGAGAGCGATCATCGACTGTTATGGCGGCCCACACCATCACCATGCCGGCGCTTGAGGCCAACCGAAGGTGCACATTTTCAGTTGACCTCTTTAGCAAGTAAACACTATCATTTTGTTTGTTTACAAACTACTGGACAACGAATGTTTTCTCATCGGAGAAAACCAAATTCGGCAGTTCACCACTTTCGGCCAATCGAAGCTCTTTAGCTCTTTTGAGTCTATTTTCTTTCAGATGCGGTGTAACTTCTTGCACTTTTTGGAATTTCAATGGCTTTACCCTCAATAATTGCCGAATGGAATGTTGCGACGATATGTTCAGCTCACGAGCCACTTCCTTGACGTCGGGCTACGCTACCAGTATCACGGTAACGAGCGATGGTACCAGACACAAAAAATTTATTCACATTTAAACGCTGGAGTGCTCTAACGATAGCCACTTGTGGTTTTCCAGCCAAATAGAGGGAAATTACACTATTACGCTTGAATTTTCTGGAAAATTCTCACCAAAATGCTTTTGTACGCATTTTGACTCAATGTAATGAGCTGTAACTGGAATAATTTTAACAGCTGTCGGACGAGTGGCTTAGAAATGACAGCAGTCTGAATTTGGTTGCAGTTTTTTTTCATCTCACCCTGTATATGTCAAGTCCATATTTGAAGACTAATTTTACTGTATTTTTGACAAATTAGTACTATAAAGATTGTCTTCAAGTTTTGTATAGCTTCAAAAACGGTACTTCACAAATAATAGACTTTGTGTGGTTATAGCCAATATAGCCAAGCAAATGACCGACGTTTGATTGACGAGTATTGGCAGTCGATAATGTCTAATCGAGTAACAAAATCAGATATTTCTGGAACGTTCAAAAGCAATATGGAACTGTATATAACCCTTCTTCCCACTATTTTAGAGTTATTTTACCTTTTTTAACAATATACTTCTTTAAATATAAAAAAGATGGTCATAATAATTTCGAGAAATCAAAAGGTCTAAACATCACATGGAACAGTATCAAAAATTAATTCTTATTCATTTTAAAAAAATTATTCTTTGTAGTATTTTTTAATAACATCTCTCTTTCTTTGCCCTAACAGGTGTCCCTCTTGCAACTCGCTCCCAAACACGTACCATTGAAAACTTCTTTAAAGCTAATGCTGCCAAACAGAATAAAATCACCAATTACATGAATGGTCATGACGATTCTATAAACTCCACGGATACACCAAAAACAATACAACAGCCAACATTGTCTGCATCCGTGACGCCGCCACAAATGACACAGCAACAACAACAGCATATTGAACAACAAAAACGACAAATTAATGGCGACCATAACTACCAGCAGCAGCAACATTTGCCACCAGTTATAAGTCGACGCAGTTTGGATCACATTGTTGTGCCACAAGAATTTATATTTGATCTAAGTGAGGACACGAACGATAGCGAACACACCGATATATCGGACGAGGCCGCAATGTTGCACTCAGGGAATGACGACGATTGTGCAGGACATATGACAAATGGCCTTGATTTTACCACACACCGTTCATCACAACGTTCCGATAGTCATTCATCGTCACACAGTAGTTCAAACACCAGTGGAACAGACAACATATTCCTGCAGGAGCCAGTCTTGACGCTCAATGTGGATAAGTCGCCAAATCAAGCCTCGTCCATAGTAATAAACAAAACGCTCGAAGTACAACCAAAATTCTCTTCACCAAATCAAGTAAACAAATCACTAGAAGTTCAAGCGAAATTTCCTTCGCCAACAACTTTATCTGCCTCTGTCCTACATGGACGTTTCAATCAAATTGTGTCGTTAAATGCATCACCGACAAAAGATCCACCTGGTAGCTATGAAAAGAAATCCATGGAATTGAGTTGTCATGATTATGCTTTACTAATGATGCCTGAAAATGACAATAGTTCCTGCGACAGTGGTGTGGCCTTCCACACCACCGTCACAACAACACCACAATGCAATGGTACTTCCAATACCGAGGGACCAGTCGATGGTCCAATCAATCAGTCAGTAGCATCAGCAATAGCTTCTCCAGCAGTAGCGGCAACAAACCGCAGGCGTAAACCAGCAACACCTCATCGCATTGTCTGCTGCCCCTCACCTATTAAATCACAGCCAAGAGTTAATTCCCCGGCCGGTTCTCCATCGCCACGTAAAATGGCTTCGGCTCTCTCACCTCGCAAGTCACAAAGACACGTAACTACTACCGCCATGGCAGCTGCCGGCGGTGGAGCTGCTGTTGTAACGGCACCCAACAAAACTAGACGAAGACTGAATCAATCGCCTCCTAAAGAACAAAAATCTGCCTTAGACGCTGAAACTAATCGACAGGATGATGAACCTGTTGTTGTTATTGTCGATGATGACGTTGAAGTCGAAGACGATCATGATGTAGAATGTGAAAATATGGCCACAAATACAGTCGATATGAAGTTAAGCACGCCCCCGCCTCCATCTCTTATGAATGGTGGTAGTGCGTCCAAGTCCATATTAAATTCAGCAAAACATCCAACAAATCAGCAAAATGCCACCAACAACAAAGGTAAATCCACAAAAGCCCATCACAAAACCAAATACACCGTTCAGAGGCCTCAGCACACAGCTCTCAAACACCAAGCGCCTCAGCCCTTGGCGGCCACAAATGGCAACCGTGAAATTACCGACTGCTTCCCCGTACGACGAAGTGTGCGCAAAACAAAAACTGCCGTCAAGGAGGAAATGATGCGCAATCTGGAACAGGCCATACTTGAAGAACGCTGTGAAGGTCTTAAAATCGCCTACTTTGAGGGCAAGGGACGTGGCATTATTTCCGAAAGGCGTTTCCAACGTGGCGAATTCGTAATCGAATATGTGGGTGATCTCATCTCGACCGCTGAGGCAGCGGAACGTGAAAAACGCTATGCCTTAGATGAAAACGCAGGCTGTTATATGTACTATTTTAAGCACAAAAATCAGCAGTATTGCATAGATGCCACCGAAGACACTGGAAAGCTGGGGCGTCTGGTAAATCATTCTCGCAACGGCAACCTGGTAACCAAGATTGTGGTGGTCAAACAGAAACCTCATTTAGTTTTAATAGCCAAAGATGATATTGAGGCAGGAGAGGAACTGTGTTACGATTACGGTGATCGTTCAAAAGAATCATTGTTACATCATCCGTGGTTGGCTTTTTAGGAGATAGTAAGATGTCGATGACAAAATCAACAACAACATTTATTGTTAAAACATTTACATTTAGGCGCAGATAAACCAATAAGCAAGACACAATAACATTATTCGCTCCTTTTGTTTCGCTCATTGTTTCTTTTGTAAGAAAGTTCTTAGAACTTGAAAAAAAAAACAACAACCTCAAGCAACCACACCACCATCCCCCTCACATAACATTACATGCGTATATACAGCGATTTTTTATTTTTAATATTTAGTATTGAACTAGGAGAATATTTTATTTAAAATCTAAAAAGTAGAACACACACACACACAAAACCACAAACATTCAACATTTAAATGTTTTAAATAGTCGTATTTTTTCTCTTTTAAGTTCATACAGACAAGCTACAATGTGGGTATTTTTTACCTTTTGCAGCTATTATAAATCAATTGTACCCTGCCTATCTACTATCTAGCATGTTAGCTAGCTAGCGATCACCATGTTATCAAAGAAATTGTATTTATTTTAAATGGGATACTTAAAATACCTTTTTGCCGAATATTGAATAATTTTGAAATGATTTTATGCGACTGGTGTAAAATGAAAACTTTTTTGTATTTGATTTGATTCAAATCGAATAACATTTGAAAATCGTATAGATTAAATTATTTCAATATTTTTTTTAGAAGAGATTGAGACTTAAATTTTATATTTGTAATAATGAAGAAGGTGGAGAGTATAATATCGACCAAATCATTAAAAAAGACTAGAAAAATTATTTAGTGAAAAAATTTCAATTTTTAATTCAAAGCGATTTTCATTGGGAAACATTGGTTGTATTTTCTCTCGGTTCTCTTAACAGGTTAATTATGTATGGGCTATGGGCTAGGTTCCTGTCGATTTCTTTGGCATGAAAAGTTTATTACCCTTTTTTTATAAATATCGGGAGAGATTTCTGAATTGCCGGCACATAATCAGGTAATATCCTGTGACATGTTGACTATGGGAAAACATATTCCCCTGTTAAATCTTCTTGTTTGATCGTGCCCTTGTACAAACTACAAACCATGTCGTTTTACCTTTTTCTCAGACACTGTTGAAAATAGCAGATATTGTTGAATTGAAAAATTGTGATTTAGTATCATAATGTATATTTTGATGCCCAAATACGACTGAAACTTGATCAGATCAGATTTATCTTAGCTTAAGTTTTAAGAGTTTATTCTTGCTGAAAATCGCTTACATTGCATTCTTAACGTTCATACGTTCTTTTTCTTTGCAAAATTTCCTTAAGCTCATTTTCATTTCCTTTCCCACGCATTCAGCAGCCAGTAGTCAAAGTCTCCAATGTTATTTATATTTTTGCAAGTAAAAAAAAGTTTTTTTTATTTAAAATACATTTATGCAAAAATGGTTCTCTTTTAAGATGCCTAAGAAAGAAAATAAAATCAAATCTTAAATATAAAAGAATTGAATTTGAAAACAAAAAACTGTCTTATGTTGTATGACAAAAGCGAAATGCAACAGAACATAAACATATATTAACTCTTAGATTTATAGCCTCAGAAAGAAAACCACTGAAGTTAAAATAAGCAACTTTACGTTTACATAGGAAAAGTATATATTTAATTGTTAATACAATATAAAATATAAACGAAAGTAAAAATACATTTTCGCAACATAGGTTAAGACTAAATTTATAACAAAAAAAGAAAACAAAACAACTCAAATTAAGGTTTATATTCATTTTTGTAGAGCTAATTTAATGGTTAAATATTTGTTTCATCACAAGCAAGTTGGAAAGAAAAACAAAAAATTAATCTTATTATATAACTGCAATTGAGAAGCAGCTCTAACAATGAGTGCTATCTACCCCACTATTCTGCCCCCCTCACCCACCCCATAAAATTGTTGGTCTGGTACCTTTGTTTCCAATACAAACATAATTCTTCCTTTTAATGTTAAGTTTTAATCAATGCACTATCATCTGGTCCCCAATTAGAAATAGAAATTAAGTAAATATACTTTTTATATTTCATAAATTTAGTTCAACCTTCTTGAACATTCTTCTGCCACCATCATCCTTTTTTCTTTTTCACAAAATTCCCCACAGCCCACATAAACAACAAGTTTTAATGTACAATAAACTCAAATATTTTTTTATGATTACCCATTAGTAGCTTAAGTTATTACAAAACAATTATAAATTTCATTAATTTTTCCTCTTTAATTTATTACTCTTCAGTTTGTAACTTACTTTTTATTATGAATAAAAAAATGACATCCATTTACCATTAATTTATATAAACACATTATTCTCTCTTTTAACGTGTACAAACAAACAAACATTGATGGTAGAAAATAGAAATATAAATACAACCAAGCTACAGACATCAAACCATCATGATTGTCAATTCCCCCTCTTTCCCATGTTTCTTTTTCACATAATTTGTTTTTTAAGGTTTTTTTTGCACATTCGTCGTGCATAAAAAACATAGAAGCTTTTATTATAATTAAAAAATAAATATTTAATTTGTAGGCTAATATATAATCCTCTTGTTTTCAATTACACTATTTAAGTTAAATTTTTTGCTATTTTTAAGCACAAATAAATGAAAATTATTAAAACATAAAAACAACATTATTAAACTTAAACAAAAAAATTAAAAAAAAAAAACGAATATATTTAATAATAAAAATACACAAAAAACAAAATATGGTGTTTTTTTATTAATGAAGTATTTTATACATATAAATTTTAAGACACGACGACAAACTTTAAAAGTGAATGGCATTTAGAATTTTACAGAAATATATTTAATAATTGTGAATAGTTTGGAGTTGAATATAGACTCACGGGTTATCCCTCAGCCATATGACTACAGAGGGTATACAGAGTGAGATAAAAAAAACTGCAACAAAGTCGAACGCTATAATTTTTAATTTTTTTTTTTTAATTTTATTGAATGAAAGCAAAAAATGTCGGAAATAGCATCAATTTTTTTATTTATTCGAATTGGTCACATTTGCGTAATTTTGGCCCATTCTCGGCGAAGCGCTTGCTTGAGATGATCGACAATTTGGTATTTTTTAGTGCCAACCTTGCTTTCCACAGACACAATAGTCCAACGGATTGGTATCCGTAGATTTTGGTGGCCATTGTGCGCTGGAAATAAAGCGAGGAACCTCATTTTGTAACCACTCTTGGGTGGAGCGTGCTGAGTGCGATGGTGCTAAATCCTGTTGGAATGTCCAAGGTCTGCGACCAAAATGTTTGCGTGCCCACGGCTTTAATACACCCTCCAGAATATGATATTCGGCATTTATTCTGATGCCACGGTCGATTAATACGAGCAGAGAGCGACCATCGGCTGTAATGGCGGCCAACACCATCACCATGGCCGGCGCTTGAGCTCTGGTGGCCAACCGAACGTGCATCTGACCTCTTTGGCAAGTAAACACGATCACGATTTGTTTGTTTACAAACTGCTGGACAACGAATGTTTTCTCATTGGAGAAAACTCAATTCGTCAGTTCACCACTTTCGGTCAAGCGAAGCAACTCTTTAGCTCCTTTGAGTCTATTTTATTTCTATTGTGGTGTAAGTTCTTGCATTTTTTGGAACTTCAATGGCTTTATCCTGAGCTCATTTTTCAATATTTGCCGAATGGAATATTGCGATATGTTCAGGTCACGAGCCATTTTTCGCCCACTGCGACACGGATTTCGATCAAGTCGCTTCTTTTCGAACCATTTCAGCTGATGTTGCTGTTTTCTTCCTTGACGTCGGGCTACGCTACTAGTATCACGGTAACGAGCGATGGGGTACGAGACACAAAAGATTTATTTACATTTAAATGCTGAAGTGCTCTAACGATAGCCACTTGTGGTTTTCAAGCCAAATATAAAGAAATCACACTATCACGTTTTACGTTGAAATTCGCAATTTTTAGAGCACTTGTCGATTGTTGCATGTTGATTTATGGCTTCATGTACTCCAGGTTGCCAAATGTTGTCAAGCGTTGGCTCGCAAACTACTTAGTTATGGGACTTCGCCGAATTTCGAGACTAAAATTTGAAATACCGCAATATCAAAGTGGGTGTCAAGCAAGGCCTTTCGCCCATTTTGTCCAATTTATTTATTAAAAAGTTCTTTATTAGTTCTCCTTTACGTTTGATATACGTTGACTATAGTTTTTTTATTGCATCAGGTCTGAACATTGACGATTTAAGTGCTGAGATATCCTACTACTTACCCACCATTAATAATTTCTCCCGGGAGCACAATCGCGTGTGCCTACAATGCATAACCCAAAAATGTTTGGGGTTGTCTTCGACAGATTTCTCTAATGCTCGTCTCACATAGCGACATAAAAGGTCATATTTCGTTCCGTTAGTTGTAAACATAGCAGAAAATTGCTAACAAAGATGAGTGTGGATGGACAGCGATGATCAGGCAACATAACGTGTTGTGATTTGACTCCCACCTCTAAGAAATTCAGATGCTGTCGTGAAAGCATCCAAGCAAAGCAAGACGTCATTCCACAGCAAGTCAACATATGCTATGTTCCAGAACTGCAAGAACTTAAAAAGTAGGCGATGCATACCCATATCAATTTCTGCTTAGAATTCCTTTCTAAAGTCCATATATTCATGTCCGAGACAAGTTGACATGTAATTCGAGTTCATAAAGTTATCGAAATTGGTAAAATCGGTTGATATGAAAATTGAGCACTTACGAAATATACCCATTTTAAATAATTAAAACACATTTTATTTATATTTTACAGCTTTTTATTAAAAAAGCAGTCTTCATTTGTTAACAAAATTAAAATTAGAATCAAAAGAATCACTAAAGGATGTATAAAAAAAACATTTAACATAAATCCTTTTAATAGACAACAATTGTTATGCTAGTACGTACAGCAGCTTGTTTTTAACAAACTATGGAAGATATGACAAAATCAATTAAAAAACATTAATAAACTAGAGTTGTGCGTGAAGAATACAAACGAAAACTAATAAAAACAATTGCAGTTACTTTATCACTCGAATCGTAAAAACTATTTTAAATAAATAGTAATTGATAATGTTGCGTTTCTTAAATGAAAGTTACATTTAGTTATCTTAAACGAAATTACAAATCAAATCAAAAGCTAGTAGTACTCAATTCAGCAGGAATGTTGTTAATAATTAATCATTATTGGTATTGTTATTGTTTGTTGCGTTTGTAAATTATTCTAAGTACAAAGATTCAAAAAACTTTGACCATTTACTGACAATTGCTTACATTTAAATCTGTGTACATCATTTAGCAGCAAAAAAGGCAAATACATTTATATAAAAAAATGCAATAACAAAAAGTTTGACTATTCATATAAAAACAATTTGCTAGTCAATCAGTGTATATAGGTAAATTTGGAGTCGGTCGTTCGATTACTTTACTCTATTGTACATACAAAAAAATTTGTTCGTTCTGTTCTCCAAGTTTCCGCATAAAAGCCTATATAAAACTATATTTGTTTTTCTTTAGTTGTTTTATCTAGAAAATAGGTTCTCCTTCTCTAGAGCGTCATGCCATTTAGAAATTTGTCAGAACTTTACGCCTTTTGTAGCGGTGTAATGCCAAAATTTAAACGCAATTGTTCCAAAAATACAAAGGTGATAATTGTATGTGGACCCAAACGCACGAAAGCTGGAATATAACCTTTGAAGAAACCCATCGGTCCCAAACGTGCAGTAAACTTGACTATATCCCACAGTCCTTTGAATTCTCCAGGTTTGGCATTCATAGAACGTGTCTTCAAAACATCCAAGGGTTGGGTTAGAGTTGTTGCAATGGCACCAGCTGCCAAGGATGCTGTGAAATGTGTAGCCAAGTTATCTTGGAAATGGGGAGTTGCCAAGAGCATAGATTTGATCTGTGAATAGAGTATAAAAAATATGATTAAATACTGTACAAGAAAGGCAAGAGTCGTCTACTTTAAAAAGTTCTTCATAAAACATACCTGATCATAGAAAGCAATCTGACCAACAGTCATCAAAACACCTCTGCCAGTAGCTGTAGTGGCACCGGAGAATAAACGTTTGAATCCTTCCTGGCGATATACCTTAATCAGACCATCAATGGCATTTTTATAGCTGCAATAACATGTAAACGATTATATAATGACGTAAATATTATTTACACTTTTTTCTTCACTTACTTTCTTCTTTGTTCGGCTGGCAATTTTACATCATTTTGCATACGGACATTGACCATATCCGCTGGAGTTCCAACAATACCACCAAAACAGCCCGACAAACTGGCTAATGTAATTTTACCCAAGAAAGTATCAGTGTTAATGTGTTTCTTGCCCACTTCATAGATACCAAAACGTGTCATTGAGTATGTCATTTGACGCAACACGGATGCGGATAGACCATTGTACAAGGCCAAGACACCTTGTTCACGTACAACTTTGGCTGTTAGTTGCACAACGGACAATTTGCCTTGCTGTGTTTGCAAGGCTACCTTTACCAGATCCAGAGGATGGGTACAGCAGGCTGCTCCGGCACTAGCCAAACCACCAAAATACCAACGTCCCAAACGTTTGGATTTATCCTCGACAACAGCAGACATTTTTCTTGGCAAAGTGTATATTCAGACTAATAAAATCCTTGTGCTGCAAAAGAAAAATTGAAAATATTAGATTTTATACATTATGCCTAAGCAGTTGGTTTGAGAAACAATATGACCATGATTTCAAATGCTCTTTGATGGATGATGATGATGCAAGTTCATTAATTGATGTGTTTATGATAAATGACGTCACTTGAAGAGATTGAAAATCAAAACACGTCATCATTACAAACATTGTTGGCCACAGCCCCCACAACATTACCCGACCTAATCACATCAAGTGTTATTGAATACGCTCACTGCCAGCGAGTGTGTGTATTCTAATGTGCTACTGCTTTCAAAAAGGACATGTAGGTATTAAATAAACACGTTTTATTGCACCAAGGAAACATCGTATGACAACCTACACTACAATTGTAATCCTTATATTAAGGACATCTTTCGACACTTACTTTGTAGGTTTTGTGTTGAAATCCTTGTGGCCGGCTTGTATGGGCGGATTATGGAATACTATATACACAACAGTAGTTCAGGCATTTTGGAATGTATTTAGGTTATAATTCTTCTTGGTACAATAATGCCAAAGCAATGAAGGACTGTTGTTGGTTTTGTATGTAGGAACTTTAAAATAACTATTAATTTTGCATGACAATTTGTTAGGGTTTGAATATAGATTTTAAATAAATTCAAGTGGTATCAAACCACCGACCCCAAATGCCAAAAATATATTTGCCAATTCTCCTACGACGCAATGTATACCGAACGAAAGTAACAATTACAATGAAAAAGGAAGGAAATCCAAACATAAACAACAACAAGTTTTGTGGTAAGTGATGTCAATTATAACAAATATTATATTTGTATGCAATTTTTTAGTGTTTTCATTTCTTATTATATTACATTAGGCATATTTCTGTTTTAAGAGGGAGAGGCAAGGATGATGGAAATGCTCGTACTCGTCGTAAGACTCTTGTGTTTTTATAAATAACAAAAAAGACCATAATGTAAAATGAAAATTTCTGAAAACAAATTGTCTTTTGTACTTGCAAGAGGCAAGTTTAAAGGAAAATGTATTTGTTGCCGTTGGCCATATTAATTTTGGTTGTCAACATTGGGGCCCCCAATTCTGTGTGAATAGAAAAGTTGTTAATGTGTCGTCAATTCACAGTGAGTTCCTAGTTGCCAAAATCATATGTGCTTGTTTTTATACTGATTGGAAGCGTTTGGTTTATTTTCTAAAGTTTTTATCAATAAAATACATTAAAAACGGTAAGTAGGGCAATTTATTTTATATACTAGCTATTAAAGGAATACATGGAAATACAAATTGTCACAGAATGTGGTCAAACATTAAATTAACTTCATTAAAAAAGGCTAGTTTCACATTTGCTTTTTGGCATGGATAACTATGGTTGTGTTCGCGTACTTTTTTGATATAAATGTATTATATTGTACTATTTTTTAATAAACTCCGGACTTTGAGATGTATTGTACAATTATATAAGTTATAAAATCCGGAGGTTCTAAGCGACCAAATGGCCAATATCTGTCCAAATGACCTGCATTTTGGCACATCCAACCAAAAATTTGCCAAATTTTATCGAGATCGGCTAAGATGTTGATATAGCTCCCTTATACATCCTTAATCCGATTTTAGGTTTCCTGTGCAAATAATGGTCCAAATAGAGTGAATTTCGGGACGTACGTTTTTATTTGGCGGAACTTGGCTCCGATATATATATTTTAATACAATCCTTCTCGAAGTGATATCATGCACTCTATAGCAATGTTATTTGGTACAAATGATAAAAATATATCCGTCAAATTTAGTGAAAATCGATTCAGAATTGGATATACCTCTCATATATCAGTTCCCTCTGAAACCAATTAATAACTGCTCTAAAGCCAAAGGTTGGTAGGTGGTATGGTTATGATAAATTTTCGATATTGCCTACACCTATTGATGATGAATATATAAAAGTTGATGGTGTTCGAAGGGGCATTAAATTACAGGATGATAGCTAGATTAACTCTAGGAAAATTGTGTCAGCCTGAAATTTGAAGGAGTTAGCGTGTAAGGATTATTTAGAAGATCGTATCCAAAATAATTGGACTTCATTTTGGAAATATTGCTATAATACCTAATATAAATAAATTCAACATCAACCCATATTACAAACCCAACCATGAATGTGGCTAATGCTAATCCAATTAGGCTTAAGATATACCTATTCTAAACTTAAAAAAATATATATATTTTTCTCTTTACTATGATGCTATTTTACAGTTCACAAAATAAATATGCATTGAAAATCGAAAACAAGTTTTCTCATAGCAACGAATATCCAAAAACGCATATATTTACTTTGAAAAATTTCAAATTCGAACTTGTTTTGGGTGCACGAAAAAATGTACCGATTTTGTATATAATAACTAGATCGAATGATATGGATATGGAAATTATATGAGCCGATGCACTATGTGTAATAAAACTAAATAAACTTGAAATTGTATTTGATTTGTAAATACAAAATTTTCCCAATTCATTAAAAAAAAACATTTTTCCAAAATAGCTTAGGGGGCTCGTTTGATTATTATTTCTGTGTGGGAATTCAAAAACACCACATCTATATGTATTGCTGCACATTGTAAATTATATTCATGTGGATGTTTTTATTTCTGATGACGCCATAGATTTTTCTAATTTTCAGTCGGCAGATATTTTAAAATTTAATTTCCTCTTTTTTTGACATTGACCATTGGGTGAAAGCTGTTGTGGCCTGGCCTGGCCTGTTTTCATCATCTAGATACAGAAATATTTGTTTTTCATATTGAACAAAATATCGCTGTTGTTAAGTGTTGTTCATTTGTTGTGAACAACTGGTGACACAAATGAAAATATGATGGAAATTTTTGTTCTTTCGATTCATATCAAAACGAGCGAGAGGGAGAAAAACAATAGCACGTGGTTGGTGGACCTATAAGTGTTATAAAGTCTTATTTTTAGCACGTGTAATAAAAATAAACATAAAAAACAAGAGGCAAGTTTGTCATTAATTAAACGAAAGGTGTTATTAAAAATGAAAATAGGAATACAAAGACATCTGTGGCAAATCTTCTTTGTATGCGAAACATCATTTTTGAATTTTGCAAACATGACGAAATTTTCTGAATTATTGAATGAAATTTTTTGTGAATAATAATATTGATTTTTTTTAATAATTAAAAAAAATGTACGAATGTTGCTTTGGTTTGAAATGTGTGTTTCTAGATTACATATGTATTAGCAACCGATATAGCAATATCTTAGTGTTATGTTTGTTTATCAGATAAGAAAATCTATATAAATTTAATTTTTTTTTTTTTTTTTAACTTATATGTTATTGTGAGGGCCGGTCATTCCATATCGAGTACCTGTTCAAGGAAAAAGATATCAGTATATATGAAAATTGTTAATGGGTAGACTTTGAATTCTGATAAAATTGCTAATTTCACGGAAGGTATTAGTTTCTGTCTCCAATGTTTGGATATGTTTGGCTGAAATTGTTATCTGTGGAAAAAAAAAACGTTTGTACTTTTTCAACTTGTCCCATATCTTCTCTTCTGACTCAATTACAAAATGTACCAATGTACTATTTTTTTACCCTCCACCATAGTATGGAGGGTATATTAAGTTTGTCATTCCGTTTGTAACGCCTCGAAATATACATTTTAGACCCCACAAAGTATTTACATTCTTGATCAGCATAAAATTCTATGTCGATTTAGCGATCTCCGCTCGTCTATCTGTCTGTGGGAATCAGGTTGATAAAATTTTGCTCAAATATATATTAAGTCCACGTCTTCGTATATCTCCCATATAACGGTACCTCCCGATATTCGGTATTTTGGTGATTTAAGCGACATTATTCGCCGGAATTGTTTCAAAAATGTTATTTGAATTTCGTAATGGAAGCTACAGCCTAAGACAGAAAATTGCCTGTGCAGGTTCACGTCCTCGTATAGCCCCCATATAAAGGTACCTCCCAATATTCGGTAGTTTGATGATTTTACTGACATTATTCATCGGAATTGTTTCGAATTCGGTATTTAAAGTTTGTAATGGATATTACAGCCTATGACAGAAAATTGTCTGTGCAGGTCCACGTCTTCGTATAGCCTCCATATAAAAGTACCTCCCAATATTCGGTATTTTGATGATTTCAGCGAATTTATTAACCGGATTTTTTTCAAATTTGGTATTTGATGTTCGTAATGGATACTACAGCCAAAAAGAAAAAAAATTGTCTGTACAGATCCACGTTCTCGTATAGCCCCCATATAACGGTACCTTCCTATATTCGGTATTTTGATGATGTTAGCGATATTATTTGCCGGAATTGGTTCAAATTTGGTTTTTGAATTTCGTAATTGATATAATAGCATGAGACAAAAAATTGTCTGTGCTAGTCCAGGTCTTTGTATAGCCTCCATATAACAGTACCTCCCGATATTAGGTATTTTGATGATTTAAGCGACATTATTAACTGAAATTGTTTCAATTTTGTTAGTTGAAGCTCTTAATGGATACTACAACCTAAGGCAGATATTTGTCTGTACAGGTCCACGTCTTCGTATAGCCCCCATAATACGGTACCCCCCGATATTAAGTATTTTGATGATTTTAGCGACATTATTCACCGAAATTGTTTCAAATTTGGTATTTGAAGTTCATTTTTTTTGAAAATTGCCAAATTACAGCTTTTTTTCTGATTTTTTTGGGATTATGAATTCTGAATTTCTAAACCAAAAAATAATTTTTTGATTTTTATACCCTACAACACTATGTGTTAAGGGTATTATAAGTTTGATTGGGCCAGAATTTATGTAACACCACGAAATATTGGTTTCCCACATAGGAAAGTATATATGGATCTTTCTATCTCGCCGAGCTGAGTCGATCTAGCTATGTATGTCCGTCCGTCCGTCTGTCCGTCTGTCCGTCTGTCCATGTTAATTTGTAATCACTCTACAGGTCGCAATTATGGCCCGATCTTCACGAAATTTAGAATGTAGGTGGGGTTAAGGTCAGAATAGAACCCTATTTCTTTTGGAGATGATCGCATAATATTTAGGGGTTGAAATGGACCAAAAACTGAAAAAATTCCTGATTTTGCAGTTGCTCTACAGGTCGCAATTGTAGACCAATCAACGCGGAATTTCGCTTGTAGCTAGAGTTTAGGGCGGGGAAGAAGCCTACCAATTTGGGTGGTCATCAGATAATATTTAGCGGGTAAAATAGACCATATATTTTGTGTTGAAAAAATTCAAAATTTTTCATTAAACCGCGAACAATTTAAATCCCGGCGAAATCGCAAAGTCATGACAAGGTTACTTCTGATCTTTACATTGATGTTAACATCCATCAAATCGGATATATAGCAAAATATGTGAGATATATATGTCTATCAAAGAAGATATGCTTGAAAGATTTCTTATATGTCGAGAACGGCTGAACTGATTTCGAGAGTTCTCATTAATTCAGAATGGCCTCTTGATAGGAAAGAAAAAACGTCTAAAAAATCACATAAAAATATCTCTCTAAAGATGAAAATATCGATTTTTAACATTTTTTCATATTTTTTCAATTTTGTCATATTTTTGGCATATTTTCATTTTGAATTAAACATTTGGTAATATTTCTACAGCTAACAAAACTAAGTAGTTAGGATATCAGGATATATACAGATCGCATTTATGGCCCGATCCTTACGAAATTTTGCATGGAGATAAGATGAGGGTCAGAATAAAAGCCTACTCTTTTTGGAGATGATCGACATATATTTAGAGGTTGAAATGGACCAAAAAACTGCAAAATTGTCAGCAGGTCGTAATTATCGCCCGATTCTCACGCACTTTTGAATGAGGGTTACCGGACATTGCAAAAGCCAAGCAGTTTTGGATGGCTATTCAAAAATATTCAATGTGTGAAAGAGTTTGCCAACTTTTGTAGACAAAATACGAAAATGTCCATTCCAGTGACTTTTTGGAGAATTCACGAATACAGGAAAGACGCACTTCTGGCTATTTCGTTAATTAAATTGGAAATATATATAAACTGTATCGTTTATTATAGTGTTGTAGGGTATTCAACGGTCGGCCCCGCTCGACTGTAGCCTTTGCTTACTTGTTCAAATGAAAATGGATTATATAATAATTAAAACATTCAGCTGTTATTGAAAAACGGATGAAAACTTTCGGAACGTTAAAAATCATTTGTATCTCAAAAA